CTCTCTCTCTCTCGCTCTCTCTCCCCCCACTCTCATGCCCCCTCTGATGCCCCGATCGATCGATCAAGCCTAGTAGTTCATGCTGCAAGACGTGTCCCATCTCTCTCTCTCTCTCTCTCTCTCTCTCTCTCTCTCTCTCTCTCTCTCTCTCTCTGTGTGTGGGTGTGTTTGTGTATGTCTGTGTTCGCTATACACAACTCCATAAAAAAAGCACGACTAAGCCAAACTGTTTCGTCGGACTTCCACCGACTCATCAGGAGGTTGAACCCCGACAGTCTCACCATGTCGTGTGTGTGTGTGTGTGTGTGTGTGTGTGTGTGTGTGTGTGTGTGTGTGTGTGCCAGACACATGTGAAGTCGCAGTCGAGCGTCGCAATGTAGAGTGGAGTAGTAAAGTCGAAATCGAGCGTGGTAGTGCAGAGTGTAGTAAAGTCGAAGTCAAAAAAAGTAGCATAGGGGTCAATCTTTCCCACGCCGTGCGATTTGCCCGTGCCGCCACCAAAAACGTGCGCGCCGTGCGTAGGATTTTCCCGTGCCGCCACCCAAAAGCGCAGCCTACGGGAACCACTTTGCCCGTTGGGAAGCCCGTGCACAGAAACGGCCCGCTCCAACAGGCAAGCAAACCGGTTCCCAGCAACAGGCCTTGACAGGTCCTGCCTGATCGATCTGGGCCGTCGGGCCCAAGGTACGGCCCGGATGTTAGATTTGTCTCATTAGCGATTTTAATAGTGTAGGGATTTGCAATTCAACAAAACCCTGTGTGAGAGCAAGTGAGTCCACCAACCAGCTGCACCCAGTCCGGGGAGAGGATCCGAACCAAGCTAGGAAAGCAGCGAGGGGCGTGACTCTTCCTAGCCTGGGACTCAGACTGGCCGATTTTGGAATAAGAACAAACAGTCTGCACTAAAAGTAGTCTGGCAGAGAAGGTCACAGTAGAGCAGTAAAGGCAGCCGGACGAGGAGACAGACCCGCATTTGGGAGGACCTAGTGACACCAGAATATAACAAATACCTGACAGTCGCGATAGCTGAGAGGAGGTCAGGAACTCCCAGGCAAGGCACACACGAGTACGGTAGGACAAGGGCTGGATCTCGTCATAAGCAAAACTGGCTAATGCTGCCAGGATAACTCCGGATCGAATTGTGAGGTCTCCTCCCATCTCTTAACAACCTGCACAGTCAATCCTCTGGAGGCCAGAGTAATCAATGCTGGGAGGCATTTTCTCATCCCTTTTCTTGGCATCCTCTTGATTCACTCTGTATATGGGACGATGGACCCGTTTTCCAGCAGGTGAAACCTCCCCACCAATAGATGAAGCCTCTCCCGAGTACTAGTGGTACCTGCTCTTACCAGTACCACTAGCACTGCAGAGGGTGTTAAAAAAAAAAAAAAAAAAAAAAAAAAGAGAGGTCCCCCACCTCATTTTCCAATCCATTAATGAAATGTCCTCTTGCTTGAAAAAAAAAAAGCCCTCTTCATGAACAGCAGGATTGGGCCTGTGCTATTTCCCTAAAATATAGCACATGCCCATGCTAAAAATATTGCAGGTCCCAAAAATAGCACAGACCTAGAAATAGTGGAGGCCCACACTAAAAAAATAGCACTGGTCTTAAAATAGCACAGGCTTGTGCTGAAAGTAGAGCAAGTCCAAAAGTAGCACAGGCCCACATTGAACAGGCCTGCGCTAAAGTTAGTGTGGGTCTGCAAATCGCAGAGGCTCAGGCTAAAAATAGCACGACCCTGAAATAACACAGGAACCCTAAGAAATTCATCTTGGTCTAGGGCCCCTACTTCCTCGGCCTTTTTTGTTTTTTTAAATACATGTCATCCTTGGCCAGGGGCCATGCTAATCTTCTCTGTATCGTTCCAATTTTAGTGCGTTCCTTTCCCAATTTGGCTGCACCTGCAGGGGTTGAGAGTAAGACTCCAGCCTCCCTTGTGGCTATATTTGTACTGACAAACTACGAGCCTGACAATTTTGATGACCAGGTTCTGGCTCTAAGGTGGGGCCTGGCCCTAATTGTCACTCAAATCACATGTCACAGGAAGCATCCTCTCTGTCCTGGAAAAGAGAAAACATAAGGAAAAGAAAGAGTGCTTCACAAAGAAGGCCATCATAGGGACGAAAAAGAAGTTATAGCTCGGGTTAATGTTAGCCATTCTGCAGTGGTTCTGGTTGACAACATGACAATGGTCCTCAAGAAATAACTTCAATTGCATCGCAACAACATTCGAATAATTGCTTGAAGAAGGTTTGTTCATTGCAACAAGAGCAATCAAGATACATGTGGGATGGAAGTTTGTAGGTGGCATATCACATTCTTCTTATTGGTCACTGTTCTCTCTTCATGTCGCTTAATTTCATTGCATTCCCTCTTGAAGCAACACAAATCACACAGCTCTGTTAAATACCTCTCTCGACAACTGGAAGATGTAAGAACCGCCCATCATGCATAGTGTGCAGCGCATCAACAATAGTAGTGTCCAAGAATCCACACTCTGGATTTGGAGTCATAACCTGCACACATTTCAAGCACAGCGAGAAATGACAACAAGATGACCACTAGAAATAATTGGCAACTGGAAAATATTTTTTTGCGCCCAGAGCCATTCGGCTAGCGCTGCTCCTTGCACCAAGCATTCATGGCATCACATCTACTTTTGAACCAGCCTTTCCATGCCCACGATTCCAAAGAGTGTGAAGTCAAAGTCGACGCCCCACAGCTTCACACCACCCCGTGCAACAAGCTACCACCATTGCCAGCTGGCGAGGAGGGGTTCTCTCGCGAGTGTGGGCTCAGCATGCAGGTCTCTGAATGACCAGTACGCCCCCCAACAGCCACCTCGATACAGGACCTTTTCAAGGTGGGTCTCAAACGCCCAAGTCGCCATCAAGCGGCAGCCAAGCGGCCGAGCGAAGCAAGCAAGCTGCTATTGTAGACTTGGGGCCTACGGTGGTTGGCATGAGGGCGAAGGTGTCTTGCGTTAATACATGTCTTTATCTCAGCGCCCCAAGAACAGCATAAAATCGTGGCTTCCATGGACATTCGAAGACAGCTCCCTCGACGGACAACATCTTCAGTGAAAAACAACAGGAGCTTACGATGAGAGCTACCAAGTGAAGAAAGCCCCTTCCCCGTACCCACCCGCCACTGAACTAAGCTCAGAGTCGGTCACTCCAATTATCCCCCTCCTCACCTCTACCTTTCCATCCTCTGCCCACCTTGCCTTATCGCCTCCTAACCATCCCTTCGCAAGAACCCAATCCGCAGCTAGCTAACGGTCCACCAGCACCTCACCGTACCCGCTGAACCCCCTACACAGTTGGGGCCCTATCTCACCTCAATTTAGCCAAGCAAAGGAAATTCCCCTGAGGGAGATATCTCTAGCCCGAGGAGTTCTTTTATTTTTTTGAAGACGTCAAGGTTGTAGTAGAGGGTGGTGACCAGGCCTCAAGAGGTGCCTCTCGTACTCATCCATTGGAAGGTCAGATGGATTGCAAAACCCCAAGGGGAGTCACCTCAAGATGGCACCATGGTACCATGATCTATGCTAATGCTCAGATCGCACGTCGTGATGTGCGCCAACGCTTACCGGACTTTAACCCAAATGTCTTCGTGCAGACACCACCCTAACTCTGATGTTAAGGACGACCCGAGCATAGGTGGGGTCCATGCATATGCAATCATCCCCCATCTGTGCCTCATCCTGCAGACTCTATGGGCAACGAACCACCCTTCCACTAAGATATGCTCCCCTACCCTAACAAGATGACACCATGGTACCATCATACCATGGCACCATGACCTATGCTAATGCTCAGATCGCAAGTTGTGATCTGCCCCAACACTTACCGGACTTTAACCCGAACGTCTTCGTGCAGACACCACCATCCTGCAGACTCTATGGGCAACGAACCGCCCTTCCACTAAGATGTCGTCCCCTATCCTAACAAGATGACACCATGATATCATCATACCATGGTACCATGACCTACGCTAATGCTCAGATCGTAAGTTGTGATGTGCGCCAACGCTTACCGGACTTCCCGAATGCAGACTTTATGGGCAACGAACCGCCCTTCCACTAAGATGCCCTCCCATATCCTAACAAGATGACACCATGGTACCATGACCTATGCTAATGCTCAGATCGCAAGTTATGATCTGCGCCAACGCTTACCGGACTTTAACCCGAATGTCTTCGTGCAGACACCACCCTAACTCCGATGTCAAGGACAACCCGGGCACAGATTGGGTCCATGCATATGCAGTCATCCCCATCTGTGCCTCATCCCACAGACTCTATGGGCAGCAAACTGCCCTTCCATTCCCCTATCCTAAGCATGATGCCCTCCTACCCAAGGCTCCCCAGGAATCCACAGTCCCAACTATTCCCCCAATGAGAATTCCCATCCACCCCAGCCTGGATGAAGCACCACCCACAGGCATTGTGAGATACATGTGGGATGAGAAGTACCCAGTACCTACCCCATACTAACACCCAGTGTGTGCGTAGGATTATTGCCCCCAAGCTGGGTCCTAGCGTAGTTTAAGTTCGCTCTCCTAGGAGTTCTTTTGCCTTCTGTGTTTCTTTTTGGAAGTTATTTATTATTCTGCTGTTTTTTGTCTGATCCAGGATGTGCTGTTTCAGACTTTGGTTTGTCCGAACAGGCACAAGGTCTGTTTGGACCAGGAAGGCACCAGTTCTAACATTTTTGGCCAGAGGCTGAGTTTGAGGGCCAGAAAACTTTAGCCTGCTTCTACAATGCACCGGGTTTTTCTCCGGTAGTGACTGGTCCAGCCCTTGTCCACTTCTGCACTTGCCCTGCTGCATCAGCAGGGCTGCCTGGATGTCCGGTAGGAACCCAGACTGGCCGTCTCGGACCAGGGGTAGAGCCTGCATCTAGGACTGTCGATCGCAGCGCTACTTCGTCCTAGGCTTCCTGTACCCTGCTATAGAGGCCTAGGATAGAAGCCTAGGATATTCCGACATATCCTAGGCCTCTACTTTATTATTTTACCTCTATTTCCGCCGCTCTTAACTACATTTCTCATCCCCTAGGGCCATCCGTTATTTAACAGCCTGCCCAAAATTAGCCTTTAGCAGGTTGGTCTTCCCAAAAGTCACCTTGGGATATTTCAAGTTGTCCTAGGTCCTTGCCCCCACCATTCTTCCAGATACATCTGCGTCTATCCTTCCCCAGCCTCCTTGTGGGCCATCATTGGCAATACGCTAATTTACAGACTGCCTGGAGGCCCATCCTAACTCCCGCTCTCCGGAGCCCTGATCTACCTGAGCCTAGGACGCTCCACACCGTCCTAGGTTATTATTTTCTGTACTTTCCTGTTTGTAACTCCCATCTATCCCTATTCCTACCCGGTCACATGCCTTGGTCAGGAGCACTTTGTCTGTTAGACATGTCAGTCGTGATCCCCACAACACTGATCCTCTTGCTACTATAATTGCAACATCCCACCCCCTTAGGATTGTCCTAGGGGCACTGCCACTGTCCGCATAACACTTCCTCACATATTCCACTGCACCTGGAGCTCCTTGTGTCTCTTCCTTTGTCCCCAGCTTGCAACGTCGGCGGATCCTTGGTTCAAGAACCAAGAGTTCCAGCACCAGCACCCAGTTTCAGTCCTGTCCCTGCCGTTCTACCTACTGCCTGCTTTGTACCTGTCTGGGAAGGACTGTTGTTGGCACACTAACACCAGGAGTTTCACGGATGTATCTAGACACAAAAAGGGGAAGAGCAATCAAAAACATCTAGTGTACTCAGTTGATTTTAGAGCTGCGGACGGCCCCAAAAGTTTCTTATAAACTTTCTTGCAATATGTTAGGGGAGGTGCAGGGGATGACACCACCCCCTCCCACCCCTCACCTTTTGTTCTCAACCCCTGTTTGGTGCGTGCACACATGCAAAGTTGCACCACATGTGTGCACTTCATGCCTGCATCCTGTGCCACCAGTGTGGTTTAAAAGTGCACCTTGCTGGTGTGTGTGCAACCCAAAGACCATAGGCACGACCAGGCATGCAATCATCTGCAGTTTGCAGTGAGGACCAGTGAACATCATCTCTTCCCCCCACCCAACCCCCTCCGCCTTCTTTTTTTTTTTTCCCCAAAACAGCCCAGGGTGCTGTAGAGGCCAAGGACTAGACCCGCGTTGATCGCTGGCGCCGGCAGCTGACGGTTGTCCTGACAGGACAGGCCAACTTCCCCCCACCCTTCCCCATGCACCCCCTATCCCTACCATCCTACCTCAGTGTGACCAGCACTCAGGACCATCACCCTACCAGTAGCCTTCCTCTTCCCCCTTGCCTAGCATTTGGAATACTTTCAGAAAGAAAAGGACCACTCAGCTGAGTTGCTTGAGCACACTAGTGGCATTCAGGAGGTCGTGGGTTCCATTCCCCATGCAATGAATTGCAGGTTTCAGGCGGGTTGTACACTAACTGGGTGTGGTCGTGTTTGTTGTTTCTTTGTTTTGAGCCTTGCGGGACTTCATCACCTGTAGTTTGTGTGTGTTGTTTGTTGGCTTTGAGCCCTTTCCGGCTTGACCCTCAGATCTGTCGTTTGTAGTCTCTATTTAGCAGTCTTAGGCCTCTCAGCCTTTGTCGTTTTGTCCTTTTCTGCTCTTCTACAAATCTGTAGGCCCGTAGGCCTTTTCTTGGACTAGATTCCCCTTGCCAGTTTCTGGTCTAGATACGTGCAGGTAGACCTCGACTGTTGGGCCGTAGATCGGGCTGCTTTGGATGGCCAGATAGGAGTTGCTGTTTGGTCTGTCTTAGGTCTAGGAGAGTCGGAGCTGAAGTAGGCTGGGCCCGACTAGTTTTGGGTTCTTTACTAGTTTTGGGTTCTTTTCTCATTCGGCTGGTTGGACGGGAAGGAAAACGAGCAGCGCTATTTCCAGCGCAGGTGCTCCTGCTTCAAGAGATCGGTGGGCGGCCATAGCTGGGGTTGCCCCGCTCCTGAAGCCAGCGCAGGGTGACTGTCTCCCCCTGGTGCTGGTCTCCTCCTCGTGGTGAGGTGCTGCCATCTTCAGTAACTTCGAAGGCAGCCATATCCACCTTCATCGTGCTGGTGGATTTATCTTCTTCTTCATCAAATGTTGGTCTTCTTCTCCATGGGAGCTACGGGCGCTGCTAGAGGGGAGGCGCTGAGGATTGTGGCAGCTGATAGGCGGGCCCATGATAGTGGAGTACCATAGCCGGGGTTTGGAGGTGGAATGAGGGAGTTGAAGGATCCATGAAAATTCATTGATTGCTGTCGGGGAACTGAATGGGGGTGTAAGTGAAGTCGCGGTTGAGATTCTTGGAAAGATGAGCCATGATTGATTGGAGAAGGGGAATTGAAATTGAAATTCCTAATTCAATTTTATCAATTTTTATGTGCATATTTTGGGCTTCCATTGTGCATCATTTTCCAGATTTGTGTGGATTTTCCCCCTCCAAGTTTACTTTGCAATTGCATGCATGTAATGGGGTGCGTGAATTCGCTGTTGATCGTACTT